CACGTCTTATATACACAATGATGGACAGCCGGCTTCCTGGAAATCGTGATCTACAAAGAGAGAGGAAAATCTTAATGCAATACTTATGTGGAAGGGTATTAGGTGCCGGGTAAGCCAAGGGTAATATGATCAACAGCATCCGTCTTGGCTATTGTTTTTGCATTCAGAGATTTGAAGTTGAGGACGGTTAATATTAATTGACTGGTCACCCAGGTTATGATTCGGGTCCGTAAACTATTAAGAGCCTACATGCACTCTCTTCGATTGCTCACCAATTCAAATTTACAAGAACAATGTTTTGGAAAAAAATAAAACAGGTGTTTTTTGTTTTTTGTTTTCTATTTCTGGAAATAAAAATAAGGCATTCCATAAGCAATGTACCTAGCTGCCTGATGATATGAAAACAGTAATTGTTTTAGATCAATAAAGCATTCCGGGAGAATGTTTTTCAAATAAGCAAGTGGCATAAATGTCTCATCTATTTACCTTTTCATTTCTGTTTCTGCACATCCAGCATGCCTTCCTCTGCAGATTTATTCCCAACACTCATAAGCATTTGCTTAATAGAGTGCTCTGTGCCTTTCTTTCTAAATTAGCAACCATCATTCCACCAAGATAGAGCACAAAGAACGCCCACAAAGGCTCTGCCAAAAAGCCACAAGTCCTGCGAGTACGTGCCAGAACACTTAACGTTAAACGATCGTTTCTCTCTCTCAAACTTCACTGCCAAAGTGCTCGCACAATCTGGAAGCTCCGAGACAGGTTTCAAGCGCAATTAAATTCTCCCAGAGCAAAAAAACTGTACCAAAAAAAAAAAAAAAAAAAAAAAAATACACGCCGCCCTTCTTATGTCACCATTTTAGGCAACATTTTCTCAGGATCTTAATTAAGATAACCACGCACACCTGTGTCAACATTCTCCCTGGCAGGACAGCCTTATCAATCATAATCCTTTAAGTACACTCCAAAACAGCCCAGTGATATGACAGAAGCAATCTGCTGCCTCTCCGACTGTGGGTGCCCTGTGTCTCCCACAAGAAGGATGAGACCTTCACAGGAAGGCAGACCTGCTTTTACGAGTCTTTAAAGTTTTCACTGTAAACACCGATCACGCTCCCTAAACAGGAATAACCTCTTTTGCGCTTGATTTACACAACGACAGCTCTGCAGCCAGAAACTGGAAGAGCGAGCTCAGCCGGGCGGCCCAAGTCTTCCCAGGGCAACTGTGTGGGTCCGACTGCCAACGCTTTCAATGCCAAGAGTTGGGCATAACTGGGACCCGTGTAGACGCGACACCCCGAGAAACCCCTCGGATAGCTTCACCAGGAGGACAGGTGAAGTCCGACAGGAAGGACCATGAGGACAGACCCCTGTGGACAGACCCCTGGTCCAAGTGAGAATGTTCAGAAGAAGATAAAATGCAAAAGCAAGCCCACCTCCCAATCGTCCTCCCTATTCCCCCCCAAAAAAGGGGAATGGGTCGCCTTGGTAACCTGAAATAAGAGGGAGCTAGCTCCCAGGTCTGCTGGGGGCAGGAAGCTTCAGGAGCATCAGCCCAGGGACAAGACTGCTAACAAGTCATCTGCTCCCAAATGGAAAACAAACAAAAAAACAAACAAACAAAAACCCGATGAATAAAAAGGGGGAGAAACGGGAAGGAAGGGGGGAGAGAAGGAGAGGAGGAGGAGGAGGAGCAGGTCACCACCACCAAGATAAAAAGTTTAAAACCTCGCTCTTTTTTTTTTTTTTTTAACCGGTCCAAACCTGAACGCTTTCACGGGAAAACGGAGAAAAAACCCGCTGCCCATGGCTACGAGAGTCCCGCCTGCTAATGAATGGATGACCCGATTTCCCCCTCCCTTTGGGGCGTGAGCACAAGTCTGGGTCCGCGGCCAGCGTGCGCCCGGCCATCCCGGCGCAAAGGAAGCAGCAAACAGAGACTCTGTCCTTTGGCAGGAGCCTCAGTGACAGGCCCAGCAGCAGAGCCACACCTTCCCAAGGCCCCCATCTCTCCGGATCCTCTCTCCGGATCCTCTCTCCGGCCACAGGAGAGAGGGCGGTGGAGGAAGGAAGAGCGGGGGACGCGGCGGGGGTGGAGGTGGGGATGGGGGGCGGCCCGGGGGGCAGGATGGTGGGACGGGGGTGTCTGCGGGACAGGGCTCGGATGCTCGGGTGCTCCGGTGGCACACACCTCCGGGGCCCCGTTTCGGAAATCAGCGACCTGGTCCCCAGCCCAGAGGGGCAAGCTGCCGCGCACGTGGACGGAGGGGGACACACACACGCGCGCGCGCGCGCCCCCGCGCCCGGGGCACCTAGGGAGGCCCTGCCCACGGGTCTGTCCGGTTCACGAGGGACGCGGACGCGGCGGCTCGAGATGCGGGAAAGCCGGGAGGAGCGACAGGGCGGGGGGCCGGCCGGTGGGACCGGGGCGCAGGGCTCACCTCCGAGTCTCGTCGCGGGAGCGCGGGCCGCGGACGCTCCCTCGTGGCCGCCGGGAGCCCCCGGCGGGCGGCGCGCGCGGGCCGCTAGGCAGGGCCGCTCCCGACCGTTACCACCGCGAGGGGCTGAGCTGGCGGCGGGCGGAGCCGGGGGCGGGCGCTGCGGGCGGCGGGGCCGCGAGAGGCGGGAGCAGCGAAGGGAACGGGGCGGGGACGCTGCGAGCACCCCGGCCCGGCCGCGCCCAGGAGGACCCCCGCGCCTCGGCTGCCCGGCGGCCGCCACTGGCCGGGCCCGCGCTCCCTTCCCGGCCGGCGGTCCGGCCGCCCCGGCTGGCTCGCGGCCACCTCTGCGCCGCCGGCCCGGCCGCCGCCGCTGCCACTGGCTTCCCGTCTCCATGACAATAGCGCGCCGACGCCCCGCCCCCCGGCGCCCTGACTCGCAGGGAGGCGGGCCCAGGACGTGGGGGGGCGGAGTCAACGCGGGCCGGCGTCCAATCAGAGGTGACAGCAAGGAGAGGCGGGGCCGCGGGGATCGCTTGGGCCCAGAGAATAGCCGCTGGAGGGGCGGAGCCTGGGAAGCCGGCGGAGGGGGAGGAGTCGGAGTCGGCGCGCGTGCGCGTTGTCGCGCACCCAGCTCCAGTGCCAGGGGCCGGCGGAGCACAGGATCTCACTGTTTCTCGCCCGTCCAAGTCATCACGGGACACTGTCTGTGTCTAGTCGTGCTTCGGCTTGCGTGTGACCCCATTAATAAAAGCGCACAAATCCCCCGATAGAGTGAGCGCCAGCGGAGTGCCCACCCGTGCGCCCTCCCCCGTCCTGGTTCGCCAGCGCCCCTGTCTGTCCTCCGAGACCCAGCGCGTCCGCGGCTCGTGGCGGCGGCGCGGGGCGGAGGAGAGACCTGCGGCGTGTGTTCTGCACTCGGGCTGCGTGGCCGGCCGTGGTGGGCAGGGGCTCTCTCTGTCTGTGACTCAGTGGTGTGTGCTTGCCTGGCCAGCGCCTCGCTGAGCAAACGGGTTGGGCTGGGCACTGCGCTCTGTGGAGTGTTTACAGTGGCGCTTGGGCGGGGGTGGGGGTGCGAGTGCATTCGGAGGGGAAAGGGGATCCCTTCATCCTCCACCACCACCACACCACCGGCCTCCTCGGCAGGCAGGGCGAGCTGCGGGGGGGAAAGTGCCCAGATCGAAACAGCGAGGCTCCCAACAGATTGGGGAGGAGGAAAGGAGAGGTCCGGAGACCTGCTCTTGCTCACTGCCTACCCACCCCCCCAAACACACACACACACACACACACACACTCGTTCCAGGCCCCTCAGTGTCTTCTCCCTCGAAGCCTGTCAAGGAGCTGGTGGAAGCAAAAGCGGGTCGACTAGGTGCAGATGCCCAAGGCCCGGCTCTGGCCCACCTGCTGCTGCTGCTGCTGCTGGCGAAGGACAGTCTCCCCCCGGACTCTCTCTGCCCCGACGGGGGCACTCGCGGCTCTCTCTCCCAGGGACCTTCATTCCGAAACTCCAGCTCGTCCTCGGCCCCCTGTCTTGTGGGAGAAAGAAGCCAGGGGAGGCGGCGGGATGGCGATCCGAGAAATCCGCTAACTCCGGGAGGGAGAGAGCCAGCATTCGCCGCCGCTGCGCCCTCGCCCTCCTCCGCCTGGGTCCCTTTGTACTTTGGGGCGGCCAGGCCCGCCACCGGGGCCCGCGGGGCTTCTTCGGCTTCGCCTCGGCGCCCGGACTCGGCCGAAGAGGAAAGTTGGAAGAGATGGGCGGCGCGCCTGGGATGTGATTGTCATCCTGGGGCTGGCGCTCGAGAGTCTGAGAGCGAGCGAGGCGGGGTGGGGGTGAGGGCGGAGGAGGGGAGGGGAGGGGAGGGGGCAGAAAGACCAGGGAAGGGAGGGAGGGAGGGAACGGGGGGGAGACGGAGAGGGGGGCGGAGAGGAGGGCGGAGAGGCGGGCGGGAGGGAGGGGCGAGGGGGCGCGCCAACGAGCGAAAGAGGGAGCCGGGGAGGAGGCAGAGGGCGAGGGCGAGGCGCGCCCGGCGGCCGGGTTGGCTGCGGCCGCCCAGAGGCTCCTGCCAGTCCAACCGCCGGCTACACCCCGGGAAGGAGGAGCTTCGGGGCGCGCACAAGGCGTCAGGATCCTCAATTTCCAACTTAGCATCTTGGCAGGACCTTCGCAGAGCCAAAAGCGGAGCCCCCCAGTGCAAAGAGAGGGAGAGAGGAGGGGGTAAAAAAAAAAAAGAGAGAGAGAGAGAGAGAGGGAGAGAAAGCAGCAAGGGAGGGGGCGAAGCTCAGCCGGGGCGCAGAGAGAGAGGCGCGCACGGGAGCGGGCTCGGCGGCCGCAGTCGGAGGCGCGCGGGAAGCCACCGAGGAGGAGGAGGAGGAGGAGGAGGAGGCGCCGGGAACCGGCGCTCGGAAGCCAGCGGGGCCCGAGGAGCGGAGCGGCGGCCCGGCAGGGGCGGCCAGTCAGCCGGAGGCCAGGCGCCCGCCCGCCCGCCCGCCCGATCGCCCTCGCAGGGCGCCGCCGGCTCGTTGGCGGCCGCGGCGCGGCGCGCCCCATGCCCGCGCGTGGCCATGTCCTACCCGCAGGGCTACTTGTACCAGCCGTCCGCCTCGCTGGCGCTCTACTCGTGCCCCGCGTACAGCGCCGGCGTCCTGTCGGGGCCCCGCACGGATGAGCTGGGCCGCTCGTCGTCGGGCTCCGCGTTCTCGCCCTACGCCGGCTCCACGGCGTTCTCGGCGCCCTCGCCGGGCTACAGCTCGCACCTCCAGTACGGCGCCGCCGACCCCGCCGCGGCCGCCGCCGCCGCCTTCTCCTCCTACGTGGTGAGTGAGCCGCCGGGGCCGCGGCGGGCGGGCGAGGGCAGCCGGGGCCGGGCGGGCGGGGGCCGCGGGGACCGAGGGCCGGCCGCCCCCCTGCCCAGCCTCCGCGCCGCCCCGGCCAAACTTGGGCGATTGTCTCCCTGGGCTCGCGCGGGCCTCGGGCTCCCGGAGTCGCCGCTGGGAGCGGAGAGCCCCGGGTCTCGCTCGCTCGGACCGCGGAGCTGGCCCAGAGCGTTTGGGGAGGAGGAGAGAGGTCGCTGGCCACGAAAAAGAGCAGCTTTGGGTGCTCACGGGGAGCTCCGGGCCGTCCTGCCCATGTGCATTTTATTTTATTTTATTTTATTTTATTTTATTTTTTAAGTTTTGCAATTTTTGGAAAAACTAGATCCAAAGAGAAAAATAGACCCGGCAGCGGAGCGGAAAGCATGCTAAGTGCATGTAAAATGTGTCTGGCTTCGCCTCTCATTAGTCGTCCTCCGAAATGTGGCAAATCCGTAATCCCATCTCCGCAATCCGATTGGGACGCGTTAGGTTTCTGAGGAGCCGGCGGCCGCGCGCTGCGGTGCACCCGGGATTTCTGGGCCGGCCCGGGGCGCTTCCCGGGAGAGCCCGCCGCTCCGGTTCGGGGGAACGTGTTTTCGGGGGGGCGGGGGAAGGAGTGCCTGCCTAGCCAGCCTCCGATTTTCGATCGCCTGTTTGGGGGAGAGGAAAATAAATGCCTTTCCTTCCCGGCTCTCCCGCCCTGCGCCTTCGCAGTGCAGCCACCCGGGCTGGGAACCGAGAGTGGCCGCCGCCGCCGCCGCCGCCGCCGCCGCCGCCGCCCGGACCGCTCTGGGCTGAGGCCCGGCCGCGGGGGTCGGATCCGCACACCCGGGACCAACGGGACCGGCCCCCGGGGCCCTGCAGGGTTCGGGCCGAGGCCCGGGTGGCTTCAGACGCCCACTAGGAACCGGCGGGCTCCGGAGTTGGCGCTCCCGCTGGGCTCTGAGGAGGGGGAAGGGGTGCGCCCTGAGCTCCGTGCCCACCGGCGGCGGAAGCCGGAGTTTGGGGCTGGGCCGCCGCCCGTAGACCCCGGGGCGCGGGGGGACATTGTACTTCGGTCCCCCAGGTGGCATTGGGGACCCTGGCCCCCCTCTCACCTCCTCTCCCTTGCCTGTTCCCTCGCAGGGCTCTCCCTACGACCACGCGCCGGGCATGGCGGGCTCCTTGGGGTACCACCCCTACGCCGCGCCCCTGGGCTCCTACCCGTACGGGGACCCCGCGTACCGCAAGAACGCCACGCGGGACGCCACGGCCACGCTCAAGGCCTGGCTCAACGAGCACCGCAAGAACCCCTACCCCACCAAGGGCGAGAAGATCATGCTGGCCATCATCACCAAGATGACGCTCACCCAGGTGTCCACCTGGTTCGCCAACGCGCGCCGGCGCCTCAAGAAGGAGAACAAGATGACGTGGACGCCGCGGAACCGGAGCGAGGACGAGGAGGAGGAGGAGAACATAGACCTGGAGAAGAACGACGAGGACGAGCCGCAGAAGCCTGAGGACCGGGGCGACCCCGCGGGCCCCGAGGCAGGTGGGTGAGCTCACGGGCGCGTGGAGCGAGAGGAACCGCATGGAAAAGGCGCAGGGTGGGGGGTGGGGGTGGAAAAGGGGCTCACAGGACCCGGAGGTTGGGTTGGATCTTTGCTTGGCAGCTGGGATGTCTCTCCCCCCCCTCCTCCTCCCCATCCCCTCTGCCCGGAGGCCTCCAGGCGGCTCATGGCCTGCGTTTCCCCCGCAGGAGGAGCGGAGCCGAAGGCGGCGGCCGCGGGCTGCGAGCGGCTGCAGGGCCCGGCCAGCCCCGCCGGCCAGGAGACCACCGAGGGCAGCCTCAGCGACTCGGATTTTAAGGAGCTGCCCTCCGAGGGCCGCCTGGACGCGCTGCCCGGGCCCCCGCGCCCCGGCGGGCCCTCCGCCGAGGACCAGGGTCCCCACTATCCTCCGGGCGCCCCGGCCGCAGGCGCGCACCCAGCCGCCGGGGAACTGCCGCCCGGGCCCTCGGTCATCCACTCGCCGCCGCCGCCGCCCCCGCCGCCCCAGGCGGTGCTCGCCAAGCCCAAACTGTGGTCCCTGGCGGAGATCGCGACCTCCTCGGACAAGGTCAAGGACGGGGGCGGCGGCGGGGGCGAGAGCTCTCCGTGCCCACCGTGCGCCGGGCCCATCGCCGCCGCCAGCCGCGCCTCGCCAGCCCCGGCGCCCCCGGCGCGCTCGCCCTCGGCGGCGCAGTGCCCCTTCCCGGGCGGGACGGTGCTGTCCCGGCCCCTGTACTACACGGCGGCGCCCTTCTACCCCGGCTACACGAACTATGGCTCCTTCGGACACCTCCACCACCACGGCCACCACCCTGGGCCCGGGCCAGGCCCCGCGACCACCACCGGCCCGGGCTCGCCTTTCAATGGATTAAACCAGGCGGTGTTGAATCGGGCGGACGCTTTGGCTAAAGATCCGAAAATATTGCTGCGGAGCCAGTCCCAGCTAGACCTGAGCAAAGACTCTCCCTATGAACTGAAGAAAGGTATGTCCGACATTTAGCGCGGGCTGCGTCGGTCCCTTCCCGGACTTTCCTAATTTATTTAAAAAACAAAAAAAACAAAACAAAACAACAACAAAACAAACAAAACATGGTCTTGGCAATTATTTTTCCATCCGCAAGAGAGAGAAAACGACCCCCTCCTATTAAAAAGTTTATAGTTCATGGAGATGGATGACATAAAAATGTAAACATCTCCACACACACACACACACACACACACACACACAGGTCTTAACCCACCGAAAAGAAAAGTTAAAGGGTTTGTATTAAATCGTATTCTGTATATTTAATGTAGCATTTTGTATTTAAATGGATAATTCAATATCTTTGAAGTAAATTATGAAATTCAGACACCTCTACAGGCATCTAATGTTTTTTTTGTAATATAAGTATATATACATTTGTGTCCCTCCCGCCTCCAAAAAAATAACCTGTTTCATAGTTTAAAAAGACAAGTTTAATTTAATTTTTTTTACACCTATTGATTTTTTTTTCTGGGTATGAGCTAACGTATTATTACAGAAAGGAATCAGGTTATACGCTTAGATTTAAAAAAAAGTAAAAGGAACCGCAACCGCCTTTGTAAAAATGCAAAGTATTTAATTAAAAGAGATTTTACCATAATCGGAGCCTCGGTTGCTTTTTAGAAGCCTTGACATGCTGTCCATCCACCTTGGACTCCAAGGTGCAAACTGCAACTTTTTTTTCTTTCCAAGGGGGGAGGGAAAGGTTCCATGGAATCTTGGGGAGCCAGGGGCTCATCTGGGGCTGCAAGCCCTGGGGAGCATGGCCCCGCCCAAGGCAGGTTTGGGGGAGATCAGATGCTGGAGGAAGGAGGAGAGAGACCCAAGTATATGCCCAGAAGGGAGAGAGGATGGCAACATCAGCTGGAGACAAGCACCAGCCAGAGCTCCCTAGCTTAACCTGATTACTTCCAATCAGTGTCGTGTTTTATGCAAAGCAATCAGCTGGTGAACTTTGCTAATGAGTTCGATTTTATGCCGGATTTAGCCCTTATTACTATTTCAAAGGTGCTGCGGGCTACTGCGGGCAGGGAGCGTTAGGGGGTGCCAAGGAGAAGGCCTGCCCAAGTCCCTTGTCTGCGTTCCCCCCTTCCAAATTAACCATTGGTCTCTTCCTTGGGTTTGATCAAATTAGTCAGCGTCCTATTGTGGATGGTGTGGAGGGTAGGTGGTCGGGTAGATCACCCGGTGCAGTCTGGGGGGGGGGGGTGCGGGAGGTGGGCTGGGGCCGCGGGGCCGGCCAGGGGACGGTTCCCCCCTCTCACAGGTAGGTGTCACACTTGTCCTGAATTTCAAGCCTGCCCTTTGCAGGAGGGATTGGAGAGTGGGCGGAAGTGGGGGGAGGGAAGACCCTGAAAGGATCTGGAGAAGCCCTAGCCGCCCCCGCCCTCACCCCTGCCGAGGCCCCCCCTCTCCCCCAGTTTTGTGCAAGTGGCCTTCTCAAGTTGGAGGGAACGCGCCGCCTCCATTAGGATTGCCTCCGCGCACGCCGCCGGGCTTGTTGTCATCGCTTTAGCACGTTTCTATCCCGGGTTCAAGAGTTCCCACAGCTCAGGGAGTATTTTCTGAGGTTGTGACAGTCTCTTCTTCATCCCGCATCTCCCCCCGCAGCGTGGGAAAGGTCGGGGTGCGACTCGATCCCCCAACAGAAAGGAGACGCGGCCCCGTGGTCGGTGCTCAGCGTCTCCATTTCGCGCGCGGACGTGCGGAACCGCGGACGTGTTTCGCTTCGTGGGAAATTCTCAGCGATGGGGGGGGAGGGTTTGCTGGAAGGAGAAAAAACAAAACAAAACAAAACAACACACTCCTCCAGCGAGGGGAATGAACGTGCCCTCTGAAACGCCTGCCCAAGTGTAGACAGAATGTGTGAGCACATAACACCGGCTTCATCCGGCTACATCAGGGGCGCGCTGGTTTGCATTGCTGGCTTTTCGCATCTCGACTCGCTTTTTGAAACACCCCCCCCCCCGACTTTCATCGGAGTTTTGATTCGTGCTGGGGATTTTTTTTTGGGGGGAGGGGGTTAGTTTGGTGGTTGTTGTTGAAGCAGCCGCGGAGCTCCTTAGCTCTTCCTAACTTAAAAGAGTTTGAAAGCTTTCTCCAGATGTGTTTCTCCCCCACCTCCCCCGTCCCGTGCCCTTCCCCCCCCCACTCCCCTGGAACAGCGGTGGGCTTCAGATTTTAAATGAGTGAGAAAATTCACGCAGGGAAAAAAAATGGTTTCAAAGCTGGGAGTGTGCGCGATTAAATATGCATGAGGCGATCGTATTTTATTTTGTCCCTTTAATTATAAATGATTTTTTTAAACAATTGAATTCCAGAGATGACTTGCCCTCCTCTTCCTCCCCCCTGCCCCCGCCCTCGCTCCCAGCCCCCTCCCCCCACTGCCCCCCGCTGCCCGGCTCACAATCCGCTTTCTCGCCCTGTTGATTATGCAGCCCCAGGAGTCACCTTGTCTTTTTCTCAAAAAGTCAGAAGAATAGGCCGGTCCTCCTCTCTCTGGGGAGAGAGAGGGAGTTTCAGGATGACCTGGCTCTGCCGGGTTTGGGAAGCCCTGGCTCCACAGACACCCCCCGGCCCGACAGACACCCCGGATTGGTGATTTTTGTTTTTTATTTTTTAGAGAAAATTACAGGCCTCCTATGTTCCCAGGGATATGGAAATGGCATGGCGCGGGGCCTTCCCAAGCCTGGTTGCAAGGGTTGGGGGGGGGGATGCGGGGCCAACACCCCCGGGGCTGCCTGGGGACAGGAGCCGCACACCGGGGAGCCCCACAGCGCTTCTCCTCGACGGGGTGCCCCTCCGGAGCCCGCGGCTGGGGAGCAGAACTAACGGAAAGCTGGAAGGCTGGTGCAGGCGTCTCGGCTGCTCCCCGCATCCCCCCGCCCCGGCCTCTGCGGGGTCTGCGGTTTTCTTTGCATCACTTCGTCTCCGATGAAGTTGACGGGTTTCTCCTGCGCGGAGCTGGGTTTTCGGTGGCCAGTGGCTGTGTCACGGATGTCTGGGTCCTCGCCGTGTGGGGGCGGCCTGCCCGGCAGATGGAGGTGTGGGCATGGAGAAAGCGCCGTGGGCACTGAAGCCCAGAAGGAGTTGCTTGTCTGCGGGGCCCTCCGAGGAGAGGGAGGAAAACCTCTGGCGGGTACCAGCCTGGCCTGGGGTGGGTTCCAGGGCCTGGGATGGGGTGAGTTCTCGGGCCGGGCCTGGCCTGGCCTGGGGTGGGTTCCAGGAAGTGGGGCGAGAGCGGCTGGGACACTTCCGTGCTGGGGCTTGGAGCGCCTTTGCCACCTGCGCTCAGCTGCCCTGGCACCAGCCCCCCAAGGCGAGCTGAGGTTGGCACTTAGGAACCAGGAGGCCCTGGATCCCTGGCAATAGAAACCATGGCGGGGGGGGGGATCACCGAGTTGGTTCTATGCAGTCCATCCCCCAACCCCCAGAGGCAGAGCCCCACGGGGGACCGGGTGGGTTCCTGGGTTCCTTCCTTCACCCTCGGTGCCAGGAGGAATCCGTTCCTGGGACTTGGCGATGAGAACGCCTAACAGGGCATTGAGGAGAGGCCGTGGAGGGGGCCTTTCCCTCCCCTGCTCCTCGCTCGCCTCGCAGGGCCAGGGCCTGACAGGCTCCCTGGTCTGGGTGCGGGGCCTGCATGGAGGCCTCCTAGTTTGCAAAGCGCTCAGGGCCGCTCCTTCCCCGCGAAGTGCGCGACTAGGTGGGAGGGGGGGGGGTTGTCGTGCATGCGGTTTCAAAGCGGGCGGTGTCTTTCAGCTCCCCTTTCTCCCTCCACCCACCCCACCCCCTGCAAGGAGCTGCCAGCTGGGCAGAAGCCGGGAAGGGCGCTCCGCGAGGCGCCCAAAGTGAAAGGAACGTGATTGCGCTCCGCTCCGGGGAGACGGCCGGGCGCGGCTGCCGCTGAGAAAGGGCGCCGCCTGCCGGGCCCCTGGCGCCGCGCGGCCGGCAGCGGAGGAATCCGGCCCGGCACCCCCACCCGCAGCTGGGCCTGAGCTCCGAACCCCGAGCGGGTCAACGCGAACCGCTCCACCACCTCCTTCGCTTCTGCCCGGGGCCCGGGGCCCGCTTACACACCGGAGAGCAGGACCTAGAGCGACTAGGACTATTTGAATCCTGCAGATGGCCACCTCGACTCAGGCACCGCCTGCACAAACAGGCGGGAAGCTACTGAGAAACAGGCCCCGAGGCTGAAAGGGTGGGGGGCTGGGGCTGTGCGCATCCTCGCCAGTCGGGGTCCTGGGGGGCTCCCACGCCCCTTGGGGTGCCTGCACTGGAGTGTCTGCTGGCTCGGGCTCTGGGGGAGCCCCCGCACAGTTTGTCTCCTGCGCGGTTCAGCATAGCTGAGGTCTGCCTTGCAACCTGGCCCCAAGGCCAAGGCCGGTTCTGACTTTTGGACTGTGGGTTGGCCATCTGTAGGAAAAACCAAACCAAAACAAAACAAAAACAAAAATTCCCTCCAAAGCTTCAACCCCTCCTATTTCAAAAGAACCTTTAAGGAGGTCAACGTGGCGAGGTGGGAGGTGCTTATGTGGGGGTCCCGGACCTAGGGCCCCTCCCAAAGCGCAATAGGGTAGACTCAACTGCCCCCCCCCATCCCTGCAGGGATATTGGGGGGAAAGGGGAGCGCGCCTTCTGCTGGTCTCTTCCCATCCCTCACCACTCGGCCACCAGCCACCAAACAGGAGGAAAAGCGGGCCTGACCAGCATCTGGCCGCCCGGACTGGGCTAAATCCCCGCGGGACTGTCCGGAGCCCCACCCCGCGGGTCCCCCTCCGTGACCGGCTGGAGCGGGGCTCCTTTCCTTGGAGCGCTCAGTGCGAGTTGGGTCGCAGCACATGGTGTGGCCAGGTTGTGGATTAACAGGGGGGTGATGGCTCTGGCTGCACCCCTTGCTCTGGCCTGCCCCTCGGGGGACTGTAAGGGGGTCTCTGGCCTCCCGTGGCCCGCAGGCCC